AATCCGAGCCAGTGATCAGTTTTTTATCTATTTCATCCCAATATAAGAAAGATCCATACTTTCGCCCATACAACGCTTTAAATGGTACCATACCTATCCCATTATGATGGCTGTTATGATCCGTGTTGTATATAACGTTAAAAGGATGTTGCTGCAGTATGTTTAGGAATCAGAGAAGAGGTGTGGAAAGTTGCTGCGGTATGATTGTGACCACAAATAATAGGGGAAGTGTGGGTGATGGACACCTGTAAAGGGCTTCTTTACCTGCAACCTGGAGGGCTGTTGGGTGTTGGGGGATTACAACTGCAATGTAAAATGTGGAGTGCCTAAATTAGGCAACTTCCAAAATGAGGGGGTCGTACGCTGAAGTAAGGGCAGGGAAAAAAGGCGCGAAGCTTGGCGGGTAAGCTAAACACAGTATGCATAGTAGTAAGGAAGAAGTGCGAAATCGGACGAAAGCATTGAAAAGTGGGGTTCTTTTAATAAACACCGATGCGTTTATTTTGTATGCTTTCCGATAAATGAAGTACCCAATTTAAGAAAATTGGGTACTCCTGACCGTATGATGGATGAAAGCCATAAAGAGCTGGTCGTTTATAAGACAACGGGTTTAACTGTACTTTTTTTTCCGATAAATACATTTCTATTTAAGGCACCTTGCTACTCTGTTCGTGTAACAGTCCAAAAGACATAAAGAGCTGGTCTTTTATTCAACAACGGGATTATTTTCATTTTATCTGATAAAACATTGTGTCTTTAAGGCACCTTGGGTATTATGTTGTTGTAAGAGAGGAAAGTCATAAAGAGTTGAAACTTTTAAATTGAAACACACGTTTGAATAAATGAATGGGCCTCTACGGAAAATGGGTTTAATCTTTACTTATAATAGGGGAAAGCCATATAGAACTGGTTTTATTATCGAAAAATGCATTTCAATATAATGTTGTCAGATAAATAAATATTTATTTAAGGAAAATAGGTACTCCGTTCTTATACTTTTTTTCGATAAATACTTTTATACATTTCTATTTATTAGTAAGAATTACTATTTATGTATAAAAACTTACTATTATTTGAACTAAACTTACTCTTTTAAAAGTAAGTTTGGGATATAAAGTACTAATCTACTTATTTAAAAATTAAGTTTAATATTTATTCCAATTTACCTTTTGAGGTATAAAAGTTACTAATCTATTAGGCTTAACTTACTATTTTAGATAGGAAACTTGGTTTGTTTGGATTGCGATTTATTTGCCAAAATATATTTGCTTACATTATCATTACAATTTTCAACACACCTTTTTATCTTTCCAATTACCTTTTTATCTCACATACATCACATCACAAAAAGTGCTACAGTAAAAATATCTCTAATAATTCACAATCCAAACAAACCCTTACTTCCATGATTTTAAGTGTTATTCTATTTAGGTGAATAGGTCCAACAATAAATCAAATGATCGCTAAAAGTGCAACAACATGTTATATTAGGTAAAAACTATTTCGCTACCATAACTATCATTTAGTATATCTATATGTATTGCTGAGGAGGTTTTGGATAGGGAGCTTCCAAAATTGTCAAAAGTTTGAATGCTATTTTAATAGAATTTTACATTTTTATAATTAAAAAATGTTTATATCTTAACTAATCATGTAACCGCTCCTACAAATCCTATAATTATGCTCATATTTTTCCCACATTTCCCGCACGTTTTTTTCACTACCCCGTAAAATTCAAACTCCTAAACTTTAACTAACAGATAATAACCACCCCTGTAAAATGATATCTGCAAATTTCAATTCACATCTCACATTTATTACTGACACTTATCATATCACTGATAGTAATAACTAACTATTAATTTAAGAAATTCGCAACTACGAAAGTCAAATATCCAAAATTTAGTAACCTGTTTAAATTACAATTTTCACAATTCAACGTATCTTATTGTCATAATATATTTTACTCTCACAATCATTCACAAATTATAAAGGGATTAAAAAATAAAAAATTTTTAATAAAAAATTAATTCAAAGGTAATTAATTCACACACACACGCGCGCATACATATATATACATATATATATTCATAATATAAACTAAAATTATAAAAAATTAGGAGGGCTAACTTTTTTTTACACAAATATTTACACAATATGAATTAAAATTTTTAAAACTTTCAAAAGAAAGGACCTATGGCCCCGATTAGCCCCTATTAGTTTGGGAGTGTTTGGATAGCAGATTTTTTTAAATAATATTTTGCTTATATCATAAACACATTTTTCATCCATTTTTTTTATCTCACATACATCATATCACAAAAAGTGCTATCATAATTATTTCAAATAATATTTTAAATAACACTCTATCCAAACAAATTTCAATAGCGTCTTAGTTCCAAACTTGCAAGATTACAAAAGAGAAAATAACTTATCACAAAATAAATTTTACATTATGGTGTTCCCACCCAATTGTAGTTATTTCACGCATACACGTACATATATATACTTATATATTCTCATAATATAAACTAAAATTATAATAAATTTGGAGGACCAGTTTTATTTTACACAAATATTTATATAATATGAATTAAAATTTTTAAAACTTGGGGAGGAGGGCTATGACCTCCATTAGCCCCCATTGGTTCCATTATTGATTTCAATGACATCTTAATTTCAAACCTACAAGATTACAAAGAAAAAAAATAACTAATCACAAAGCGAATCTCACACCATAGTGATCCCAATGAAATATTTTAAAAAGATTCAGCAAGTTCACTTCAAAAAAAATACAAGTCTTGCTGAACTTTTTTTGTAGTACGAATTCTTCAAAATTCAATAGAATTAATTAAACCACCAATATTAATTTTCATACTAAAAGTTGATTGGTGTAAAAAATGTTTGCACCTTTGTACAAGATTATCAAATCGAATGCATAATGTTGGTAAGTATTTCATTTAAAATCAAATAAAACATGCAATTACATTTATTTCATCCATATATTATTCATTTTCTAATATAAATTATTATTATTATTTTAAGATCCATCTTCCGCAAAAACACAATTCTTGAATGATTTATAGTTTTTTTCATACTTTAAACTATTGTTAGACAAATCTTAAATTTTAATTATGTTGGTATAATTTTTTTAACTTTTTTCAAATTAAAATGGTATAATTTTTTAATTTATTTTAATAATGTAAGCACCGTGCGTAGCACGGATATTCACACTAGTTGTCCTTGTATGACCGAGCCTGAGAGTTTGAGCATGTTTTGGTTGAATGTTATAATTCAAAATTTGGGGTTTGGAGGGAATAGGTTATATCCATTGTAATCAAAATTCAAACAAAAGTGGGGATAAGTCTGGTTGTCACAACGAACTATATAAAGTGGATTTTTTTATTTATTTGCACAATGCTACCTTATTTTTACATGCATCAGAATGGATTGATTACAAGTTGCATTTGCTTGCCTTTTGCTAGAATTTTGGCTAATTAACAAATTATACTAATTGTAGAAAAGTAAGTTTGTAATCATTTTCAATTTTTGAAAAGCTTGAAAGTTTGGATAATAATAACAACAAATCTTCATAGTTACATGTAGAATATCACTTGTTTTTATATCACAATTTTTATAACTTAACACCTATGAATATAATAAGATAAAATTATTATTTTATAATACGATAAAATTTTATTATTTTCTAAGGTTATGTGAAAGGTCAAAATATTTTTCACAAAATATTTTAAAATATATAAGTACAAAAGAATATTAAATTATACATATAATCATGCATTATACAAGTGTGTTACAAGTACTTACTAACTAATGTACTAAATTTTAATCATTTATAAAATATTTTTTTATTATTTCAAATAAGCTTCCTAGTATTCATTTGGTATAAGTCATAAAGGATTGAGTGATTTGAGTCAGCTGCTTCTGTGTTAATTTTGATTGTGATTAACAAACTCAATGATTTAGCCCCGTCTAACTTAGGTTAGTGGGAAAATGGGTCACAGTTGGTTGGAATAAAATTGTAATAAACCCGTTTTTCAATAAAAAAAAAATGAACTCTTTATGACTTTTCTCCATTATAAGAACAGAGTACCTATTTTTCTAAAAAAAAATTATTTATCAGATAAAATAAAAATAAACCCATTTTTCAATAAAATCCTAACTCTTTATGCCTTTCCTCTATTATAAGAATCGTGTACCCATTTTGCCATAAACAAATTTATTTATCGGATAAAAAAATTTATTTATCAAAAAAATAAAAATAAACCCGTTTCTCAATAAAACATCAACTCTTTATGCCTTTCCTCCCTTATAAGAAAAGAGTATCCATTTTGCCATAAATAAATTTGTTTATCGAATAAAATAAAAATAAACTCTTTTTTCAATAAAAAACCAGTTCTTTATGACTTTCCTCCATTATAAGAATATAGTACCCATTTTTCTAAAAAAATATTATTTATCGAATAAAATAAAAATGAACCCGTTTTTCAATAAAACACAAGCTCTTTATAGTTTTCCTCTATTATAAGAACAGAGTATCCATTTTTTCATAAATAAATTTATTTATCGGATGAAAAAATAAATATATTTTTCAATAAAATACCAGTTCTTTATAATTTTCCTCCGTTCACTACAACAAAAAAGGGTATTAGCGACAACAACTTTAGGAAGAAGTAGAAAGCTTGACGCTCTTAAGAGGCTTATAGCAAGGAAAAGGACAATACCTCACCAAAAATTGGAGCCATCATATACTCTGCGAGGGCAAGGACTTTTCTCGCTTAAAATTCTCGCCAAAAGGAGAGCGGGAAAGCTTCCCTCCAAATACTGATTTTAGTGGGCCAAAGTTTCTATGTTATTGGTGAGAAATCATGGGTGTTTTTTTGTGAAAATTTCAAAATTTTGCTCCCTTTCAATTTTTAGCAGAGCCGCGCATTGAAAATTTTTTAACCATTCCCGGCACAGCACTTGTCAAGCCTAGCACCACATGAATTTCAAGCCTTCCACACTTGCAAGGCTACTTTCCCAAATATTGTTCTCAGATCAGAGCGCTCGAAAGTTCAATTGCAACCTCCCCTGCACCTTTCTCCTTCTATCTCTCTTTCCCTCTCTATCAATTTTCAGTTTCCCATAGACATATGGTTCCCCTCTTCCTCTCTAGCATCCAGATCTGAATTTATACAATCATTGATACACTTTAAAGACCCTTCCGATGCAATGGCAGACTTCAAGGAAAAGCAATGGTGTAGGTTTTTTAATATGTTATTTTAGAAAATGGGTCCGTGATCCCGATTTTGTTAGGAATTGTTGGGGTATGTAGATTGTTAATTTTGATTGCCAAGCTTTCATTTGAGCGATCAGCTTCTAAAAGGTCAGAGAGGCTGTTGAGTCTTGTATTTGGGGTTCTTGGGTTTTTCTGGCCATATTGAAGACTGTTGGCTGTGACTTGTCACTTATTGATTTTACGTCAATTTTAAAATCAATGAAAAACCTTCAGCAGTCAGATGGGAGGTAATTTCTCTGTTCAAATTCATTCTTAAGACTCTGATTTAGGGGTACATCATTTGTGGGACCATGTAAGGTAATGTGTTTCATGGCCTTGTGTTTCTGGGGAACATGGATTCCCCTCCATCCTCGGATACTTGTCAAATTGCCAACTTTTAAGATAGATCTGTCGATATATTGATTTATTACCTGATTCATATTGTGATTTTGAGCAAAAAATATAGGTATGATTTGCTTGTAGACCATGACTTTATCATCTTTGTTAGCATATCATATATCAAACTCCAGAGAGTATAGAAAAAAAAAGTAAAGAATTAGCAACGAAAGAAGTATTTGCAACCTTTGTCCAACCTACCTTTTGTTCCATTCTAGATCACAGCTGGAAAATTTCTTTCACATGTTGAGAAATTACCTGCACCACTGCATTCACTGAAGAACAATAAAAAAAAAGGCTGCAAAATGCTTAGCTTTGCTTATCTCTTAAATGCTGCTATGTGTTAGCATCCATCTTCTATATCCTCAATTGTTTATTTGTTTATTTATTTATTGAAGACAGTTTCTCATTCCTGAGCTAATTTCTATTCTCTGAAATTACTCTTGGCAGGAATAGTGTCAAACTGGAAGAAAAAATTTTGGTTGCATCACGCATACTCTAACATTTGTAGTTGCCACATCACTGTTATAACTTGAAGATTTTGTGATTTGTCATTGTAACATCGATTAAGAAAATGACCTAAAGGAGTCCGATCTTTCTAGCTTTGACATTGTTCTTAATTCTAGTCGCTATATTTTTCACTTCTTTTTTATCTACCGGTTGATTCTTGACTAATATTACAAACTGATACATGAAAGCTGTTGTCTTTTTCCAGTTTTATGCCTACTCATTATGGTGCAGAGACAGATCTCCGTTTTGTATTTTGTGCAGGTGAGGAAGATGCTTTTAGGTCCTTCTTATTGAAATTCTTATACTGATAGATAATACTAACAGTTTAATGTATCAGTGGCCATCTGCTTTTTGTTGGGCAATTGGAGTGGTCTGGACAGAGAGAAAGCAAAGGATTACATAATAGAGTGTCAGGTATGTAAAGCTTGTATGACATGCTTAGTTTGTTTAATTATTCAAGTTGCAAACAAATGTTCCTATTGTGTATTTGTGATACATTTAAGATGTGCTTACAAGTGTTGTCCTTGCAGTCATATGATGGTGGTTTTGGGTTGATTCCTGGTTCGGAATCACATGGTGAGTGGACACAATTGTGTATGATCTTGGAATCTGCTTGATCTTCAGCGCATTGAATTTTTTCTCCGGTCTTTTTTCCCGCAAATAAACAAACTTCTCTTTGTTTCTTTGGTAGTCTTCAATGGTTTTTTATCAACTTATCTTTTTCAGTTACTTTTGCTAGGTGTCATTGTACTCGATTGTTTTTTTTCTTTCTAAACCCATAATATTAGTGGTGTTGGATGCAGCTTTATTCTGCTTCCCTTTCACATACAATTTGAAAATCAAACAGCTGTATCTTTTTAGCAGCAGGTTATTTGTTGAACAACATTGGTCTTTTTCTGCTAGGTTATTCTTTTTTTTTGTCCATTTGATTCTGCCAGGTTATTCTTGTTTTGTTTGTTTATTTTTGTTTTTAACAGCGTTGTTCTTTTTGTATGGAATGTCACTGTTTACCCGCAGGTTGTTTGGTACTGGGTAGTGGTTGCTCAACTTTTTTCCTTGGGGGGGATCATTTTTATTATTTTTGCAAGCAATAGATTTTCTTTTTTTTTAACTTTTCTTCAAGGCTGTTCCTATATGAATTTACTCCTCGAATGATTAGTGACTTCTGGATCTGGGAGATGCTTCATGTTTCCTAATTCAATTTTGTTCTCCATTTGAGAATGCTGAAAAATTGGGAGAAACATAATAGTAGGATACTATGAAAGTGCTGTGGTTGGCCCAACATGCTGCTGATGAAGCATACGTGCGAGTGCTGTGGTTGGCCCAACATGCTGCTGCGAAGAAGAGCTTTGTTGGCAATTGAGCTCTCGACATTTTTCATTTTTCTTTTGGCTTTTAGCTGTAGAATTGCTGTTTAGGGAAAAAAGATATTGGCTTTTGGCTTTAGGCTTTGAGTATCTTTGTGCTTTGTACCGTTGAAAAATGGTTGAAAAAAAAAGTAGCAACCACAGTCACAAAGCTGCTTTTGGCAACTTTCTTGCAAGAAAATCATTTAGTTGCATTTGATCGTCTTTGGTAAGAGGTCGATGGTTTCTAATTAAAGAAGTTACTTGTTCATGACAAAATGGGCGCTCTTTTTTTATAATGGAAAAAAGTCATAAAGAGTTAGTGTTTTATTGAAAAATGAGTTTATTTTTATTTTATCCGATTGACAAATTCCTTTTTACTTTCAAAATGGGTACTCTGTTCTTATGATGGAGGAAAGTCATAAAGACCTGGTATTTTATTGAAAAAATGGGTTTATTTTTATTTTATCTGATAAATAAATTTGTTTATGGAAAAATGGGTGCTCTGTTCTTAAAATGGAGGAAAGTCATAAAGAGCCAGTCTTTTATTGAAAAACAGGTTTATTTTTATTTTATCCGATAAATAAATTTATTTATGAAAAAATGGGTACTCTGTTCTTATAATGGAGGAAAGTCATAAAGAGTTGGTCTTTTATTAAAAAATAGATTTATTTGTATTTTATCTGATAAATAAATTTATTTATGAAAAAATGGGTACTCTGTTCTTATAATGGAGGAAAACCATAAAGAGCTGGTCTTTTATTAGAAAATAAATTTATTTTTATTTTATTCGATAAATAAATTTAGTTATAAAAAAAATGGGTACCCTGTTCTAATAATGGAGGAAAATCATAAAGAGCTGACCTTTTATGGGAAAGTGATACTTTACACAAAGTGACCGCAATTTGGTTTATGAAATAATCCCAAATAAAAATTTAGAATGAATTTATTTGTTTTGAAAGTTGTATAACGGTCGTTAAAACTTCAGAGATTGGCAAAAAAATTTTGGGGTTACATAAAGGCAGAGCGAAGAAGGAGAAGAATTGAGCTTTTTGTCCGTTGAATTGTTCCATTAAAAATGGCTCTATTCGATTTTACCTATTTTTTGTTGGGTAAAATCGTTGGTTCAACGATCAATTCTTCATTTCCCGTCAATTGTCCTTAATTGGCCAAAATTACGAAACTTTGAGGATGCTATATGTTTGGGTGAAACTTTGAGGATGAAAAGTGCATTTTTTCCTATAAAATATTTAATCAAATGTTATTTCTTGTCTTAATTTTTGTTATGACTATATTACATATTTATTAAATAGACATACCTTTATAATTAAAGTTAATATTTGATATTTTAGTATGCCATATATTTAAATAGATGAAAATTATTTTGAATATAACATATTAAAATAATTTTATTTGTCAATCATTTTGGCCCCCCCTCCAAGGAAAAAATCTTGATTTCGTCACTGCTTAGGAAGAAATTGGAGTCTATTGCTAATAAAAGATTGTGAAAATTTACCTTTATATCCTAATTATTTGAAAAAATCTAATGAACAAATTTTGCAAAAAAAAAAAAACCTTGTTTCTTACTAACAAATTAAGTAACTAATAAAATCACCTGTAATGTTGTTTTAACATATTTAATTTATGTTAAATATAAATTTTACCAGTTTCTCTTTCGTAAAAATATAAGTATAACACCTTTTCAATTTTAGTTACAAACATTTATTTATTTTACATAAATATAGTGATTCAGAATAAAATACCCATAAATAGCTAGTATTTTGTTAATGTAATGCAAAAAATTCATAAAGAGCTGGTATGTTATGGGCGCAATCTTTTTTACTTTCACATATTTAAATTTTGTTAAATACAAAATCTACCAGTTTCCCTTTCGTAAAAATATAAGTATAATACTTTTTCGATTTTAGTTACAAACATTTATTTATTTTACATAAATATAATGATTCAGAGTAAAATACCCATAAATAGTTAGTATTTTGTTGATGTAATGCAAAAAACTCATAAAGAGCTGGTATGTTATGGGCAAAAACTTTTTTACTTTCACATATTTAAATTTTGTTAAATACAAAATCTACCAGTTTCCCTTTCGTAAAAATATAAGTATAATATTTTTTCAATTTTAGTTACAAACATTTATGTATTTTACATAAATATAATGATTCAGAGTAAAATACCCATAAATAGTTAGTATTTTGTTGATGTAATGCAAAAAACTCATAAAGAGCTGGTATGTTATGGGCAAAAATTTTTTTACTTTCACATATTTAAATTTTGTTAAATACAAAATCTACCAGTTTCCCTTTCGTAAAAATATAAGTATAATACTTTTTCAATTTTAGTTACAAATATTTATGTATTTTACATAAATATAATGATTCAGAATAAAATACCCATAAATAGTTAGTATTTTGTTGATGTAATGCAAAAAACTCATAAAGAGCTGGTATGTTATGGGCAAAAACTTTTTTACTTTCACATATTTAAAAATTGTTAAATACAAAATTTAATAGTTTCCTTTTTGTAAAAATATTAGTGTAACACTTTTTCAATTTTAGTTACAAACATTTATGTATTTTACATAAATGTAATGATTCAGAGTTAAATGTCCATAAATAGCTAGTATTTTGTTGATATAATGCAAAAAAAATTATAAAGAACAAGTATGTTATGTGCAATTTATTTTTTACTTTCAAAATCAGTTTATGCTAAATACAGGACAATCAGTTTACCTTTCACAAAAATATTAGTGTAACAGTTTTTCAATTTTAGTTATAAACATTTATTTATTTTACATAATTGTAATTATTCAGAGTAAAATGCCCATAAATAGATAGTATTTTGTTGATGTAATACCCATAATCGGGAGAATCAATTGGAATCCATTATTCCTCAGTCTTGGACGCTTTATGTAAAGTAGAGATATTTGTATTCAATTAAATATGAAATATGCAACAATCTGTCTTCCCATGAACCCAGTTTCCACAAATGTTAATATTTTACTAATATAACAATTAAAATCAATTTCAATAATTCAAATTTAGTAGGTTAGATAAAAGTTGTTAGAAAAGTGAGAAACCAAAAGAAAAATAACTCAAATTTATTAAAAGTCCAAAAAGAATTTAGTACTTCAGCTCTAAAAATCCTCCAAATGACTATATATTAGAACAGCGATAATCAAAATAGATTACATAATTAAAAAAATTAATGTTTCAAACATTTATTTTCTTAAGTTTCACTTTTTAAAGGCTCTCAACTCGTTATTCAATAATGTCCATATGTTGCTTCAAAACCAAGCATGGCTGTGTTTAGTACTGCTTACGCTTCCTCTTCGGTGTTTTATTTCTAGACCCATTATATATATGTTAATTCCGTGACACCCCAATACATTTTAAGCTTCTGCCATACACAACATTTCCAAACCGGCCCGTGCCTGTTATAGGTCACAATTTGCTTTTGTAAACATATTCCTTTCATCATCTGTACATGTCAGTTTCTTTGACATATTCTTTACCTTTCCACGTGCCTGCTTCTTTGCCATATTTTTTACCTTTCCACACCTGTCTTTGGATTATATGAATACACTACAGAATTTACCACGTTAAAATAATAAGTGCTCCAGTATTTGGATTTTGGAATAATTTGTGTCCAAACTCCCAGTGAGAAAATTGAGCTTTTCCTCCCACTTAGAGTCTTAGACAGTTAGACCTGAACTGGCACCTCCTACTGTGGGGGCCCACTATCACTACCGCCTGGTTTGGACACAAAAGAAGGTTAACGATTCCATTCACGAGTTGACACGTGTGCAGTTAACCATTTCCCGCAATCTCAATTTTGATAACGTTATCTTCCACTGATTGGTCAACGAGTACACGTGGCCGCCAATGGCTAAGATTCTTAATGACTTAATTAAGCTGCTAATGCTAATCTATATGCAGGAATTCCCATTCGGCGGGAGAATGCACCCTCTATCTCCTGTATGTAACATGTTGGACTTGGCAAGATTCTCTCTCTCACTCTTTTTTTTTTTTTTTTGATCTCTTGATAAAGGGCAGAAATATTTTAAAATAAAAGGTCAAACTATAAGTCAGAAGAAAAATTCGCAGAAGTGAAAAAAAAAATTATTGCAGAACTAAGAACAAAGTGAGCTATCTTTTCATTAATTTGGCAATCTCAAACGAACGAACATTTTAAAATCAAAATAAAATCGGTGTGAAAAAATATATATTACTGTTAGCCAAATGTTAAATTGGAATTAGTTTCCAACAGGAAATGATGCATCTGAAAATTTGTAACCTTTTCTTTTCTTTAGTTTTGTACTAAGATAGTTTGTATCTGCAATCATAATTTTCTTTTCCATTTCTGTTATGTCCCATTATTCCCACATATATTAAAATATTTGTGCATAGTAGGTGGTTTGGATAAGAGTTTTAGTTTATTAGGAACCTTTATCCCATTCTACAGTTATTCTATTTTTATTTTTTGCTTTTGCCTAGTAATTTTATCTTTTTAATTAATTGGGAAAATAAAATAATAAAACCGGTGCCAAAAATCGTGGGTTTTACAAAAAGTAACAATTGCTTTATAAAATGGGAAAATTTATAGAAATGCATAGCAACTGTTTTGGCATTTTTCCCAATTTCTAATGTTAACAATAGTCTAAGGTATAACAAAAATTTGAGGATACGATTATATAAACAATAACAATACTTGAAAAATAAATATAAAATAAAAATCATGTGTTTGTTAGAACAATGTATTCAGCACAAAATATCTTGGACAGTGAGAATATCCTTAACCTTGGAGGGAAGTGGGGGTGAGGGAGCTGGTGTTATTACAAGACATACAGACAGTAAACCACATAGACTAGGGCAGTATCCCTCTCCTGTGTAAAAGGATTTCTCACCAAAAAAAAAAGGAAAAGATATGCTTCATCCTTTACATTTTAGGAAACAAAACTTTTTTTCTTTATTTTTAAAATAAAATAAATTAGTCCCTCACATTTTAAAAACGAAGCAAATTAATCCTAAAATGATATCCTGATATAGATTTCAAGGGTAAAATTGAAACATCAGTTTAACTTTAATCAAATCTAACTATATATGATATGTATACGATATTAAGTCAATAGAAAAAGGAAAAAGATTAAAATTACAACATAAAAAAACCTTCTCTCTTAAAAAATAAAATTTTTTTCAAAAAGTGATATTAAATTAACATCAAAAGAAAAAATTAAAATTACAACATCAAAAACAAACCATTCTCTCTAAAAAAGAAGAAAAGTTTAAAAGTTATAACATCAAAGACAAACCCTTCACTCAAAAAAGTTTAAACAATTTTTGAATTATAAAATTTTGTAACTCAGGGGTTTTTTTCCTTTTTATGTTGACCAATGTGATTGTCTCAAAAAATTTTAACTTTTTCTAGGTAGTATGTTATAATTTTTAATTTTTTTCCTCTTTACATTGACTTAATGTCTTTTTATAGTGACCTTCCAATTTTATATCTAAAATCTATATTAAATTGTCAATCTGCGATTAATTTGCTTCGTTTTTAAAATGTGAGGAACTAGTTTGCCGCATTTTAAAAGTTAGAGATAAAAAAATATTTGTTGCCAAAAGGTAAGGGATTTATTATCAGTGCTAATATATAGTTAATTGTGTATGTTAAGGTGTCGTGGTTACGTGGCATATTTTATGCCAATGTACTGCAAAGGGATTTTGTTTGTGAGATATTACATTATTGTCACTACAGACACTACAAGCCATATATTTCGCCAATATTAGTGTCAGTTTTCCACTCTGCTCCAAAAAGAGAAAGCAGAGGTAAATGACGGAAAATTGACTTGGTCAGAGAGGTACTATTTTGTTCTTTTTCCTGGTCATGGCCTACCAAGACTTTTCTGTAGTATGCAAAACCGCGGACCTGTAAAAGTGTCTTGGTCATGACTTGTGTAGTTAATTTATTAAGGAACACTTGCATAATAAGGAAGAGAAGTTAATGTATTTAGTCGCAGAGTAGTCTGTAGTTGAAGTCAAATCCGCGTATCAAAACAATTCCGCCTTCCATTCCACCATGTGAATCGAACTGCTTCGTTTTTGACTGAAATAATTGCTCTTGCACAAGTCAATGAAGAATTAAGGATAAAACTGGAAGAGAAAATGAACCACGAGAATCCAACCTCTCTTCTGAGATCAGTTAAAAGTAAAACAACAGCTTGTTGAAAGTAAAGCTCGCTTCCGGCTTAACCAAGATGGCTGACCCTGCTCTCTCTTTTGTAATTCAGAGAACTGGCGATCTGCTGGTTCAAAAAATTGTTTTCCTGAAAGGCGTTCGACGACAAGTTGAGAGGCTTCAAAATGATCTGGTCCGGATGCGGTGTTTCCTGAAAGATGCTGATCAGAAGCAAATTGAAGAAGAGAGGATCCGCAACTGGGTTTCTGAAATCAGAGCTGCTGCCTACGATGCGGAGGATGTCATCGAGATCTTTGCCAGCAAAGTTGAGTTCTTCACAAAGGACAAGGGACTCGTCACCAAATTGACGTATTATCCCTTGAAAATTGTGAACCTCTACAAGATAGGCAAAGAGATTGAATCCTTACGGATGAGGCTCAAGGAGATTGCTGACAGCCGTGAAAAATACGGTATCAAAAATCTTGGAGTGGGGACGAGTACACATGGAGAAGAGCTTCAACGGCTCCGGCGGTCCTCTCCTTTCAGCGACGAAAAGGATGTAGTGGGCTTCGGGGAGATAACAAAATCGCTGGTGGCAGAACTTTTGAAAGAGGACAGAAACCGCCGCGTCGTTTCAATCATTGGCATGGGAGGTGCTGGTAAGACAACTCTAGCCACAAAAGTTTATAACCATGCTGATGTTAGGGAGAGATTCAACTGCCGTGCTTGGGTATGTGTCTCTTCAAGCTACGATTACAAAAAGATGCTGAGGGCAATCATAAAGCAACTGAATCCAATAACTAATGAGCTACTTGACATGTTGGAAAAGATGGAAGAGGAAGACTTGGAACGAAGGCTCTATCAAGATCTACAAGACAAATGTTATCTTGTGGTGCTTGATGATGTATGGGAGGTAGCAGCGTGGGATTGTCTTGCCAGGAGGGCCTTTCCTGATGTTGGCACATCAAGTAGAGTGCTACTTACAAGTCGCAATCGGGATGTTGCCCAACACGCTGATGCTTATAGACACCCGTATGAGTTGAAAACTTTGGGGCAGGAAGACAGCTGGCAGTTGTTTCTCAAAAAGGCCTTAGGCCACGGAGCTAATGCTGGGTGTCCTTCGGATTTGGAAGAAGTAGGCAGAGAGATTGCAAGGAGATGTGGCGGTCTACCACTGGCCATAACGGTTATAGGTGGCCTGCTACTAGGCAAGAATAAGTAGAATACTGAATGGGAGAACGTTGTCAACAACTTTGGCGCATACCTATCAAGGAGCCAGAGCGAAGCAGGGAAAATTAGTGAAGCAGGGGCAATTCTGGAATTAAGTTATGCAGACCTCCCTGCCAATCTGAAATTTTGCTTTTTGTATTTGGGTTTGTTTCCCGAAGACTCCGTGATTTCTGTGCACAAGTTGATCCATATGTGGGTTGCTGAGGGAATAATGCAGAAAAGAGATGCAAAAAATTTGGAGGAAACTGCAGCATATGAAGATATGGAGCGACTTTGTAGCAGAAATATGGTCCAGGTGGCGGAAATGACGGTTGATAAGAGGATTAAAAGCTGCAGAGTCCATGATTTACTGCGAGAGCTTGCAATCAGAAAGGCAGAGGATGAAATTTTTTTTCAAATCCATGGCACCAGAGATGATAAAATATCAGCCAAATCCAGGTACCTTGCTGTTCATAGTCTCCCTCTGGATGAAAATTATTTTGGGTCTTCGACCCCTCCTCTCCGGTCTCTACTTTTTTTCAATGTCCACTGGGAAAACATTAGTCTTATCTTCAAAAGTTTCAGAAAGCTTAGGATGCTAGACCTAGAGAATGTTGGGATGGATTATTTGCCAAAAGAAATTGGTGAAGTCAGGCTTCTAAGGTACCTCGGTTTAAGACACACAACCAGTCCCAGGCTCCCTCATTCCGTCGGTTGCTTGCGATACCTACAAACTCTTGACATATGGACAAGGAAAGTCCCAAATTGGAGAGTGAAAGTTTCAAATTTCATTTGGAAGCTTGAAAGTTTACGGCATCTATATGCGCGTTATATGGAATGTGATGTGCCTCTTAAGATTGAAGGATTGAGGAATCTCCAGACTTTGTCACGCATACGCTTTGATGATATCATGCATAATGACATGATAACTCTGACAAGTCTTCAGAAACTGGGGATTTGGGTGGATGACAGGTCAGACATAGACAAACTCTGTCTGCATTTATCTGAGGTTGGAAGCCTAAAGACGTTACGTCTTTGTCGGTATTCGGGAAATCCAGGATCTCAAGGTGGATTTTCTAAGCTCCGTCATGTAACAGAGCTTAAGCTATCCAATTGGACAATGCTGCCTCCTGATTTCCCTCCAAATCTCTCTCGCTTGTCTTTGAAATACGTATTTCTCGAGGATGACCCAATGCCAGTACTGGAGAAGTTGGGACAGCTGTCGTTCCTCAAAATGAAATTTGCACACGTGGGGCCACAGCGTATGGTCATTTCTAGGCATGGGTTTCACCAATTGAAATTCCTTGAGCTCAACCACCTGTATGGTTTGGAAGAAATAAAGGTGGAGGAAGGTGCACTGCCACAGCTCCGGTGCCTGAGAATCTGGGAGTGCTCCGATTTAGCAAAATTGCCGGAAGAGCTGAAGCACATATCTAGTCTTGATGCGCTCGAGCTTGTGGACATGCCAGAAGATTTCATCAGTGGGCTTGATGCGGACCTGGTATCCCGTGTCCCTAACCTCGGAATATTTTGACTCGCAGAAGGAAAGAAGATCAAACGGAGAATGCATTCGCGCATAGAATGGAAGGTATGTCGTGTAGTGATTAATAAAATTATTTCAAGTTTTTATCAAAATACATAAATAAAAAGAATGTTTCCGTATTTGTTTTCCCCAATTCACAAGCTTTTTAAGTCCTTTGTTTTTTTTTTTTTTTAATTATTTGAAATCTCACACTACATCTTATAGGATTTGTCTTTCTATAAATTTACATATTAATACAAGTAGTAATTAAAAAAAAAGAAAGAAAATCCTGATAGTAAACTCTTGGGACTTGTAAATGTCGAAATCAATAAAAATATCTTATAGTTATTTGGTTGATTCTAATTTTTCCAATGCTGTCCAAACCGAAAAAGAGAATAAGGAAATAAAAGGCCCTATTCGTGCACTGGAAGAGAAAAAAAGAATGAAGTTGGCAAACAAATCGCATATAAAGTGTTGGTCCGTCTGAAAGTGAGGATTGATCGCTTCCTAAATACTACTCGCTATACAAATAAGATATTAAAAATAAAAAAAAAACTAAATTGGTCAATTTTAAGTTTGTAAATGGATACCTTACTAAACTTGGTCTTGAACCATGATTTGACCAAAAAAAAAAAATTATTTACTCGCATCACAAATGGATACCTTAAGATAGATTTTTGGATGTTCAAGTTACAAGACATGATTTTTACCATAGAATAATTTTTTAAATCTTTAGGATAAAATAAAGTGGCATATTAATATTTTTTCTGTCCAACATCTTGACCTCGTGGCATATACAATAATTTCTTTTTCCTCTACTTCTTTAAAAACGAGATAACAACCTTTTTTTTTTTATCCTAAGATTTTGTTTTATGATGAATATTGCAGTTGAGAGATTCATTCCCCTCGTCCATGCTGACAAAATTTGCCGGACTGCATTTGTTCGAATGAAATTGTCTCGTAGAAATAAATAAATAAAAGGGCTATAACCTGTTGCTATCATATACAAAACAGGAGAGAGTAATCTACCTCGACCCTACATTGAGGTTTGGTCTTATACTATTGAGTGATAAAAGACGCACAAAATTATGTGTCTTAAGAAAATATTATACGAAATCTGTATTGATCTGTACAAGTATATATGGGGCCATTGTTATGAACTCTGACTTATAATTATATGGCTTCATTTGTTTGCCTTTCATTTCAAAATCTTAGTGTCAAAGCCGAAGTCAAATAGCTATCACATGAATTCAAATATACATTTGTGGCACACATGTTTAATATTTGAATTAGACTCTAAATTCTAAACCTAATGATTCATACATATATACAAAAATACACACACATATATATTGGCTATGTATTTATAGGTAAGTATATATGAGTGTTTATATACATACATACATACATAAAATTTTTCATGTTTCTTAGAGAAATACATGCAATGAATTAAACATTTTGCAACTTTTCCTGTACAGATGTGTGTGTGTGTGTATATATATATATATATATATATTTGTAGAGACTGTATATATTTTTTATTTTGATAAATAAAGATGCAAAATTTTATTAATGCAAAAGGAAATCTGCATTAATAACGGAAATTACAATGATGGAGGATCATATAACCGTGGAGATGATCCAGAAACATTTCTAGCATTACGATATAAATACAAGCAGGAGAATTAAAACGTGTAGGAACTCAATATTTTTCTAATACAGGTACATCATCAAATTGAAGAAACTATATAAGGTACCTAGGTAAGAAAAACTAATAACAATTATTAAGATCAAACTTCAAACATGTATTAATGGTTGTTTCATAAACTTCCTAGACATATAAAAAAATTATTTTAACACTCCAGCATATTGACTGAAGTCACTAATATCCTTTTATGCCTTTCTAGAAAAAATCATTCTCTATTCATTCTTTCTTAGACAAAACTTCCTCCAACTCTTTCATGGGAGAGAGATTAGATTTTCCTGATCTTTTTCTATGGGAGAAGCCCTCTCTCTAATTTTTTTTTTCATTTGTATGAATAAAGTTTCTTTTAAGGTTTTCTATAGTAAGAATTTCTTCTTTTCTAGGGTTGTCTAGCGAGAATTTTCTCCTCTCCTTAGGGAGTTCTAGTGAAAGTTTTCGATAGTTTTTTCATTTTCCTTTTATTAGATCCAAGTTTTTTTAGGTTTTGATTATCATATCTAGAATTTTTTGGGTTTATTTAGCAAATTTCACTGTAATATCTAAATTTAAAATAGTTAATCAACAGATCTAATGATTGAAAGCATGCACAAATATTCGTGGGGCTGCAATCATCTTATCTAATTTTTAAAAATATTTTTTGGAGATTTCCATTACAACTTTTATTTGTTCTTTATATCTATAATATTCATTTTTCAAATCTGTTCTTTGATATCTCTATATGTTTGATGATATAATTTCTGCCACTAGTCCAAATTTTAATGAAATTACAATGTTTTATAAAAAAAAAAGATTCTATTATAGTACAATTAACACAAGAATAGATATTGATTTCCAAAATTTTTGTTCTCTATAAGAGCTTCAAAATTTCGACTTTAGTCACCTTGAGAATTTTTATATACACGTACTTAAATTGCATACATTAAGCAGCTTTTAAAGGCTGTGGAGTGTGTCTCCGGATGCAGGGAGAAATAAGAGTTGTATCTGAATCTAAAAGGCAGAAAACAATTATGTGCGGTGAGCGTGGATCGAACACGCGACCTTCAGATCTTCAGTCTGACGCTCTCCCAACTGAGCTATCCCCGCTTGCCGTTTCAAGCTTAAATTGCCTATATTAAGATGCTTTTAAAGGCTGTGGAGTGAGTCTCCGCATGCCGGGAGAAAATAAGAGTTGTACATGAATCTAAAAGGCAGAAAACAATTATGTGCGGTGAGCGTGGATCGAACACGCGACCTTCAGATCTTCAGTCTGACGCTCTCCCAACTGAGCTATCCCCGCTTGCCGTTTGATGCTTATCCTGTTTCGTCCCTTATTACAATTAGACAGTTGCACAAATGCCAGTTCTTCAGCTTCAGGAACCTGGATTAACGCCTAGTTTGAATCTCCAATTTGCCAAGAAAATCGATGTTCAACCTGAATATATCATCTCATCAACTATTTTGAATCAAGCAAAACAAGAAATACATTCTTCAAAAAAGTTGACAAACCACATATCTAAGCTAACAACTCCAAGACAACAGTATATGTACACCAGCAACCAGATACGACATTTTTGCAGAATAAAATGTCGAATTCAGTTTAGTCAGCAAGTTAACTGTAATTTGCAGCAGAATAAATCCATACCTGTAGTGCATTTTCTATCAACCGAAAGTGCTTTTTTCAGCCTCCACGAATTAGCATATCCAAAACTTTGCTGGATTTAGAACATCCGAGTAATGCTCTGGCCATTCCCTCTTCTTATGTAGTTGCTAGTAGAATCTCCCTCTCGACCAACTGTAGTACTTCCTTCGACCACTGAGTAAACTTTCGCACGACATTTCTAGTTATTCTCTCCTCAAACTTGGTGCTCCTCAGCCATGCCACACCAACGTAGGCATCACACTTGCAAGTCCCTTGAGCAAGAGCAGGATTCTCGAGCTCATATTTTAGTTGCACCTGCTTCATGGAAGAGGGCGGCAGACGAAAACTCAATTCTGTTCTACATGCTTATCCATTAATAAGAAACAAGAAGAAAATAAGAATTCCACTTCTTTTACCTTCGTCCCTGATAATTGGGGAAGGGAGGGTAAAGTAATTTCAATGTACTCACACGGAAGTATTCACCGAATGGAACATCATGAAGGGTCATAATCTCATTAACAATCCAACCGCCATCACTGGAAAACGGCATCTTTTGCTGTGTGCAAGTTACCTCCCCTCCAAAAACTGAGATGCTACGATCAAATTTGTAAGATATACGTCTTTCGTGTACATCAGGTGTTACAGGTTCCCATGCAGTTGTGGTGTAATTCAGGCATCCGGACTTTGCCATCACTCTATACTCGAAGTCTCCACCATCAAACATCTGCAACACCAATCTTATCTGTTGCATTGGCCGCGAAAGTTTCAATCACTACTTTTATCTTTTCAGAGGAGCAACTATTAATTGGATTGACAGATTAAGAACAGAAACATTTCAATGAAGGAATAGAGCTGAAATAAGGAAAACTAGTGCTGCAAGCAGGTGAAGATACAGACAAGGAAACGCATAGAAAACCTGTCTCCAAAGCAGAAATAAACATCTACTGGGCTAAAACAGAAACATGAGGATGATTCCTGCCATTTGTCACCATACTAGATAGATGCCAAGAGAAAGGTTGCAAAACAATAGCGTAAATTAGGCACTTTCAAGGACCAGTTATGGAATTGGGGGAAGCATTTTGTTGCTATGTATTGCGGAACCTGTTTCTTGTTGCATATCTTTTTTTCTACTTTCCAGCTTCAAGTACTGCTGAAACAACTTACTAAGTTTAATAATGGTTGAACATATCTATTCTTGCTAGAGGGCTGACGTATATATCGAAATGCTGTCATACTCTGCATCAATTTTTGTCTAGCAAATCTTATTCAGTGGATAGAATAAAATTTTAATATAAGCACCTGTGACAGATGAAAATTATATCATTTTAAGCACAAAGAATGAGGTACATACATTTACAGGAAGTTCCACACTTAAAACCTTGGCCAATTTAGCATCTTGGATAATCAAATAGGAACTGGGGTCTTCAAACAAACTGGGCTTCTCATCTCTGTCCTGTTGTTCCTCTGCAATCTGTGCTCTCTGATCAGGACCCAATGTTCTCGTTCTCCACAAAGCCATTACTGTCCTGTTAGCATGCAGCCAATTTTTACCACCAGATCTGGTTCGTCACAAAGAAAGATCAAAGCAATCCACTATGAAAATTCACAAGAGAATCCTGCACCACCCATACCTGCTAGCAACGTTGAAGGAGATGAATGAATGAAAATAGAAATGCAGCCTGCCTTCCTCATCTTGATACTTTGCACCATGTCTAGCATCATTACCATGACCCTTAGACAAAATTATGACAAGTGAAGGACTTCCTACTGTTCCTAGGGTCGGAGGAAGCTCGTGAATATGTTCAATGTCCTCCCATAGAAAGAAAAACTTGGTCTTATGTCCAAACAAGTTGGCATAGAATCCAACAATTCTTGCTGATAGAAATAGCCGTCCCTGGAGCAAGTGAATAATATGTTAGACTAGACTTGTTCGGTCTTGCTTAGAATAGAGGTAGATGCTGTCACAGACTCAGAGAATGTAGAGCGAGATGGCCAGCTGAGAAAAAAAATAGGAGAAGAAAAAATACAGCAGATTTAACATTTAGGACTCCATGAGGAATTTTGGCCATCATTTCCTCAATACTGGAACATTAGGACCTTCAGTTTGGTAACATATTTTCTGTTCAATCCAGATTTCTTCATAATTATATACTAATAAGTATGCAGTCCAATAATTTCTTCAATATTATGTTTGTTAGTTCATTAGACTTATCAATCACAGGTGATCATCACATTGACTCCAATAAGGAATAATTAGCAAAAAGCTCAGGCAAATATTACCAACATGGATCAGAAACCATAGAACCATCAAAGCCAAAACTTCTACAGTTTTTTTGAGGCAGTCCAATAAAGTAAAAAAGAAAAGCTAATTCTAAAACTACAAGACATCATTGTAGACATCACTTTTATCAAATAGAAAATTTACACCCAGTAATCTATAAAAGCTAATTCTAAAACTGCAAGGCATCGTTATAGACATCACTTTTATCAAATAGAAAATTTACATCCAGTAATCTATAAAGTGTAATGTTAGATGCATTTGCATTTCCTCTTGTATCTTGTCAAATAATAATGACGAGGAGATCAAGCCAAACATTTTATAAATCAACCACATGTCCACCAAGAAAACTTTATCTCTGGTATAAATATTTATTAGTTCTCCTTCCTACCAATGGTATTGAAAAAAGAAAATTGATGACAACAATACAAGCAATATCCTAGTAACCTTACCTGCAATGGCATCTTTCTCTTAAGGGAGCATGAGAAATCACTAATGAGAAACTCTTCAGGTGGCAATCCAAAAATCTTTTGGAATGCTGAATTTCTGTGCAGTGATCGGAGGTTTAACTGCCACAGACAAATCATGTAGATAACACATAATT